GAGTGCACTTAAAATGTTGGATTAATCTTTAACTGTACGAGAAAAACTGCATGTGCATGGATGTTTACAATGAGCGGTTTGGTAAATAACTCTACTGATCGCCTTTGGTCTCTCCCCCTAATACCTGTGGCTAACCTGGAGATTTGTTTAAAAGCAGTCTAATATTCTGATTGCGTGTGTTTCTTGACCTCACTGTATTTCCACATCTCACCAAATTGCTTGGTTTGTACAATCTTATCACTCCTGATAGGAATGATTGTTGCCTTCAACAGGCAAAATGTCCAAACAGGACTTCATCACTGCCATGTGTACTCAGTTGACACTCTCCCAGTATCTTCTTATTAGTCATTAATTCAAGTTTAACTACTGTTATTTTTCTGGCCTCGCCCCTTCATTTTCACAGCATCTGTTCCTCTCTTCGGTCTCTGCTCGCTTTCGAAAGAGAGAAAAACACTCCAGCTGCAGAAAGATCAGCCGCCGTCCTCCTGGAGTAAACGCGCTACTACGGACATAGAAATGCACAGACACGCATATGAGCATCACAGGGATGCACCAGCGCACACAAAAAACTCTCTTTTCCACACACACACACACACACTCACACACACACACACACACACACACACACACCAAACACACACACCTCCCTTCCACTCTCCTGTAATAAAACACACACTGCCGTCCATTCACAAAGCTATGCTGCGGACACTCGGGGCTGCGCTGCCTGGCTCAAATCCCCGCGGCCCCCTGGCTTTGACGGGGCTGTTCTGAATCAACACGGAGGAGCTCAGCTTTTACTTCCCGACTGGAAGCTGTTAAACGCCTATTACGCTACATGCCTGCCCTTTACAGACCCATTTTTTAAATTGGACTTGATTGACTAAAGATGAATGAATAATGCTGTAAACTAGCAATAACTTGTGCGCTGTCTTTTCTAGAATCTGACAGCAAAACAAATTCAAGTTAAAAGCGTATGAAATTTGAGGTAACCAAAGATGTGGTTGGACTAAACCAAAGGAAGGATATGCAAGTAGAAAGCACGGATCTTCACCAGATAAAACAGTTGCATGCACTAAAAAAATAAATCTGAGCTCTTGAAAAAAAAATGTTATAGTCAGATGAGAGCTGACAGAAAAACAGGCCTGCACCTCTCATAGGTGTTGTTAGTGGTGGAATAATGGCCCCCAATGTCATGAATGAATGTTCACTCCCCTTAACTCAATGTGCTGCCTCAGCCAGTCTTTCACAACCGACCCATTCATAAAACTGCAGGGCTGAAGGTTGTGTGTGTGTGTGTGTGTGTGTGTGTGTGTGTGTGTGTGTGTGTGTGTGTGTGTGTGTGTGTGTGGATCAGGCCAAGTGTGTTTATGCGTGTGCAGGAGTAAGTGGATGAGAGTCTGTCAAAAGGAATCATCTGTTCAAGTCAGAGAAATCAACCATTTTACTCATAAGCAAAACAAAACACTGCAACAAACACACAACTCATTGAGGAAGCCTCGCCTCCCCGGAGCGAGTAAGCGAGCTGTATCCGTGCATATCTGGCAGGCACCTGGCTTGTTTTTGCGCACTTTGTTGCATAGCAGCTGTATTTTGGAAAGTGGAGAGCACAGAGTTGCATGTTTCTCTTTTCGGAGGAGAGAGGGAGTTGGGAAAGGGGGGGGGGGGGCTCAATCCACCCATCGGCCCATGCTCCAAATAGGGTCTGATTGGGCCAGTTCTGATCCAGAAAAACAACCCAAACAAGAGGAAGGCTGTGAATTCATGACAAAGCAGAACACACAGAGCCAGAGAGACACACTGCTGGGAGGGTTTGGTTTGAGCTGGGTTACTGGAACTTCTCCTTTCGCTTGTTTCTTTCCTCCCCCCCCCCCCCCCTTTCTTTGTTTTTATCTTCTTTTTCTTGATTTTATTTCTGCTTTTCTTTCTAGTCAATCAACTTAAAATTAATTGGCAATTTTTTTTTCTAGCCGATATGGCCAAAATGATGTGCTTTCAGCTTTTCATTTTTGAGGATTTGCTGATTTTCTTTGTCATGTTGATAGAAAATTTAAGATATTTTGGTTTTGGACTGTCTGAAAGTGCCATTTTGGACTTCATCTTTTACAATTTTCTGACATTTTATACACCAACCAATTTATCAATAATTGCATAATTATGCATACTTTACTTTTTTTTTTTTTTTTTTTTAAAAAAGGAAATTCAGAGGAAAAACATACGAAAAAAGATCTAATTAAGATTACATTAAAATCAAAAACAGGAGGCAGATTTGGAAGGAGCATGTGTTCATATCTTTCTTTCTTTTTCTTCTATACTTGCTCTACACCCCTGAAGTCCCTCCCTTTTTTTTTTATCTTGCCTTCTCTCCTTTGCTTAACTTGCTCTGGTGAAAAGCACTGTAACGGCATTCTATAGCCACAACTTCCTATATAATTACTGCAATGCACAAAACTAAACAATCGTCCCACACAGGCCTGAAATCGCTGGATTAGTTCACATCTTGGAACACTCAATGTGTGTGTGAGCAGAGAGAGAGAGAGGGGCAGAGAGAGGTAGAGGGAAAAGGGAAAGGGGGAGGGGGAGTCCAGATTTTTAAATTCAACTTAGTTTGTACAGACACAGGAAGGGAGGGAGGGGTTTGGAGTATCCACTTGAACAGGAGGGGGGGGGGTGTCAGAGAGGGGGGATCTGTAGTACTGTAGGGCTTTTTTATGAATGAAGACCGAGGGAGAGAGCAGCCGAGGACTGAGGGAGAGAGAGGGAGAGAGAGGGAGAGAGGGGGGAAGGAGAGGCACACTTCCTCTTACGCACGCAGGGAAGAAAATTTATGAATGGGTCACATCTCTCGAGCTGCACCAAGTGTAAACAACATACTTGGACAAAGAAGAACGAGCTCTTAGCGCAAGCAGCGCCTTGCTAAACGCTCCAACTCTGGCCTTTTAGTAAAAAACAAAGTGGGGACATGTTCAGACTATTTTAATTAACTATGTGCGTTATAAATTTGACTGACACCTCCATGTGTTTCTTCCCTGGAGGCGGTAAACAGACAAAGGAATCTGTCCGATGGCCCATCATCAGCCCCCGAAGGTGCTGTCAGCACCCAAAACCAAACATTAATCCTCCTCTCCTCTTGATGAGCTTTTAAGACTTCTGTGAAGGGCCAATCACAATAGTTGAATGGAAAAAAATATGGTGCGCTGTTATCACCAATGGCTCAATTACCTTTAAACACACACACACACAGGCAGGTCAGCAAGTACATAAAAGTTGCATGTTTGCATAACCTTCCCTCAATGGCAGCCTGCAGACAGAGCATGCTTGTTAGCTGTGAACTAAGGCAGAATGGACCAGATGAGATAGATTTACCAGATGTGCAGGTATTGCACAATCCCTCCTTTGCCCCCCCACCCCCACCCCTCCTCCTCTTCCCTAATCTAGCATTCCTACATGTCCCTCTGTTTTCGTGTCTCCTCTTTTGCTGTTTCGCTGGCTCCCTCTTTCTGTCTCTCCACCTCTCTGTCAACAACACCGCACCCATGCAGGTAACAACCTGACTCAGTAAACAACAATGTTTAATTTTACCAGGGTGCCGTTTTCAATGGAAGCCTCAATTATATCACGGTCACCTGGGATTAGGGCTTTTTTTTTTTTTTTTTTTTTTTTTTTTTTTTATGTGCTAGACTTTCCAAAACAGGTGAGTCACCTGTTTTTAAAAGCACAACCGTCTGGTTTTGTGAATCCTTTGAGTTCAGTATGGGAAATGATGCCTTTTTATGCCTTTAATAGACCGCATAGGATGAATATATTTATAGTTGCTTGTCAGCTTCAATTTCCCATCAATCAAATCTGAATAGAGATGCTCTAACTAGACTCTGCGGCTATTGACTGTGACCAGCAGGGACACTGTCTGTCAACGCGGGAGTGTCTCTGCCGTGTATAAGTGAGCTGCCCGTCAAACCGAAGCCCCCGTGACCCTGCAAATCATACCCAGGTCAACCGTTAGCGGAGCCCTGACAGCTGATTGGCTGACAGGCCAGGGGGGTTAAGTAGACATGACCTCTGCGTGCCCCGGGGTTCATCTGCACTTCCTCCTCTGCATTGTTTGGCGAACACACAGTGACAATGTTGCACAGGGCATGTGTCACAGAGGGGCCGGGCAGTTGTGACCTGGAGCTGGTTAAATCACACCATGTTTACACACAAAAGACACATGGGTCTCCGTGAGAGGACGTGCCTTTGACTGGGACTGAACGCTGTCAGTTTTACTTTGGGGATGAGATTATTCTGGAGTTCTCTTTAAGTTGCTAACCCTGTCAGTGTCATTGCTAAAGACGGAGGGAGAAGCCTGCAGTGTGCTGAATGCGACAGAAAAAAAAAAAAAACTGTTTGTAGAGCGACGCACATACTCCCACCCAGATCCTGAATCGCCATTGTCAAGACACACAACAAAAAAGGGAAACTCATTCAAATAACCGCTCAGTTGTGCCGCCCAGGAATTTGCTTTTCCATTTTACACCTTCCGATGTGCACAAAGGGCTAACTTTGTACCTGGGCCCTGAATAATTTTTTTTTTTTTTTTTTACCGGTTTCCTGGGCCGTACCCATTCAGCTTTTCAAAGGCATGCAAATGGATGACAGCAGCACATAACGCCGGCATCCAAATTCACGTCATGACCGGCTCATTAGGCCTTCTGTTTTCTGCATAGCTTTGTCTGCCAGAGAGATTACTGTAACATCAGCGAGTTACAGTATCCCCACGTAAGCCTCTGGCAGTTTCACAGCCAAAATTTGACCTCCGCTTTCATTCTCACTTTCTCATGACATGCATACTTGAGCTGGACTTGCATGAGCAGGCCAACTGACCAAATACAGGTGAGACAGCTCTCAATACATGGATCAATATCTGACTAAAGAAAAAAGAAAAAAAAAAGATCTAATGTGTGCAATACACAGTAGAGTCAGAATTGACACATTGAGAGGACACAGAAATAGAAAGTACTCACAGTTCTCAGAATGGAAATCAGGAACAAATTGCTCGTCACTGTCAGGAACCTGAGCTGAAATTAGAAGACAAAAAAAAACAACAACCATAATTTTAACATTATTATTATATTTTAGACAAAATCTGACTTTTCCCTTTCCTCCCACATTTTGTCTTTTTTTTTCTGTTCCTTGAAATCTGAGTAAGAGCCTGGCTGGGCTTCATCCAGGTGACCTTCACAGCACTTTTCTTCTCCATAGATCAATACACAAGAACATGGAGGTCTGGAATGGCATCACACATGTTGACCTGCCAACCTGCTTCCATGTGGCTTTAACATTTCTTGGTAGTATAGACATTTGAGTTAGAGATTTCAGCCCATGTAAAACTGACCATGTTGACTAATGCCCCCCCACCACCACACACACACAATCTCCATAAATCCTATTCTACTTTTTTGTCCACCCAAACTAGTGAAACATCTACATGCTAACGGTCAAGTCCCACTGTAGAAATCCAGACGGCTTAAACAGGCTGTTCTGGCTTCACAAGTGAGGAAATCTGTCAGCGGGTGTGACAAACTAGCAGCACCGTCACAAGACGTACAGGGACTAGATTGTCTAACAATGTAAAAGCAGTCTGGATTTCATCTGCTGCATGGGCGAGGAATCTATCTCGGAGTCAAACTGGAAGCGGATATAGAGAACAAGGAAACAGGACTAAAAGCAAAAGGAGAAGCGGGGGAGTGAGATGAAAGAAAGTTAAGGTTAAAGCACTTCTTGTCAAATGGCTCCTATCAGCTGTGAATGAATGTGTTTTCTATGGAGCAAAGATTTGATAACACTACTGTTCCTGTTAAGACATAGAAACCGGTCATATATCAACCTACATCATATTGAGTTCAAGGCTGTGATGCTTAAAGATCCCATGTTTTACACTTCTACCATGTTTCATTTAAAGTGTTGATCTATAAGAACATATATTTGTGCTTTTAAGAACCAAAAACCATGCTTCTCTCTGGAGCTCTAGTTAACAACAGGTCAGCTCTGAGCCTCTCTTCTGATTGGCTGATTCTCTTTCTGTTTTCTGAATGATCTAATAAAAATGTAGCAGATTTCAGGTAAACATGTAGAGAAACCAAATCCTGCAAGGTTGGATGGTGGGTCCATGCGGGCTTGGCTTGGGGCACGGCTGAAATGGGTGACTGCCTGACGGCTGGTTTTAAGGCTCAGTCTCTGAATACAGGCTGTGTGCATTTCTCTGTGGACTGCTTTATAATCAAACAACACATGAACATCTATCTTAATACAATTTGGGACCTTTCAAATATGCGTGTCTCAGAAACAACATACATGCAGTTTACAATGATTTGTAAAAACAGGCGAGTCCATACGGTGATATCTTATATGTGTGTGTGATATCTTGATTTGATCAATAATTACTTGCAGCGGTGCATAGTTTCAGTTGCCCTGATCAGGCACTCTCTCATAATGAAACTCATCTAGGATCTAACTGAAAAAGCAGAGTCAGTGATGCCAAGCCCAGGTGCAGCAGAGCTAGACAGACACTATTGTATGCCTCTTTTTTCTTTTTTTTTTAGGAATCCAAACCCATTCACAATTGTCCCGTTGGAGCTTTGGACTCTGAGTCACACAAATAGGTTAGAAAAGCCCAACTCATTTGACTGCCAACACCCTAACAGGGGTGAGGAGGTCAGATTCACCCACTGAGGAATGAGCTCACTGGCATTACATGCTACCTTTTGAGTTAATGGCCAAAACGCAGAAATGCAGAGCAGGACCGGGGCTAGCAAACCTTTCAACCTGGCACTCCTCCAGCTCCACAGGTTTCTGGCTTTTTTAAAAAGTGTTTCCATTGTTTGGGAGTCACACTTGCGTCATGGTACAAGCTAACTGGAAGGGAAAAGTTGATGGCTATCATTAAATAGCATGAATGCAATCAGGGGCATAATGGGCTACAAAACAAAATGGCACCACATGGCAGGTACTTCAACTCCATTCCCTCACTAAAAATAAACAAATACATAATAGAACTTCCATTTAGAAGTATCTCCATATTATTCTCTAAAAGTAGATGCCAACCAACCACAGCTTTTGATTGTAACCTCACTCAAGAACCAAAATCTCACCCAGCATTCAACCTTACTGGCCTCTCCTCTCTCAGCTCATCCTCTGATACAGTTTCCAGACAATGATACACAAGACAGAAACCAAAACTCAGAGAGAGAGAAGAGAGCGAGAGCGAGAGCAAGAGAGAGAGAGAGAGAGAGAGAGAGAGCAACAGACACAGAGGACAAAAAGAGGAAATAAGAAATTCAAATCCACTTTCTTGTCGTCACACTCCTCCTTCCTGTGCAGAGGAAACCGGATGACGACGTTTTGGAGCATGTTGAGATAAATTACATTGATTTCTTACATAACGCCGCATCCTGTGGCCTACTATACCATAATAATATTACCCCCTTTTAAATTTTCGCTCTTTTAGCCTCAGGGGAGGGGAGAGAAATAAAACTGCTGTATGAAACAAAGCAGGGGCCAATATTTAGTTGTGCAGACCCAACAATCAATCACTTCCACTAGTTTCAACATGTCCAGAGTGGAACATGCTGGACCTCATAAAAGACGCAGGAGAAAAGAAACACGGGTGATGACCATCAGACATGATCGCAACCCCCCCCCACCCCCCCTCCACCCCCCGGTGTGCGTGTTTGCGTCTGTACACTTTCCTGTGCGTGTATGAGCGCTTGCATGTGTATCTGATTTGTTTCCAGGAACACCTCGTCAGGGGCTTTGAGATGCAAGTCAGCACAAGAAGGAAAGTGTGTTTATACGAGCACAGACGCATGTTCTCCCTGATGCTTCCAGGCACCTTGAATGACTTTTTTTTTTTTTTTTTCTCTCAGTGGGAGATCCTGGGAGGAGCTAAGCAGCTTCAGTCATATAAACCTAAAGGCCAAAATGAGACAAGATGTGACAAGCTCCTGAACTCCTGCCATTCAGTACTTCACCCCTTCTGTCTCTCTCTGGCTTCCGCTCTCCTTTGGCAAAAAAAAAAAAAAACTCCCTTCAGCTAACCAGCTTTTACAATCTTGGTGAATCCCTCACAACTGCAATCAGTCATGATAAGGTCTTTAATTAATGCAACAGGAAAGGAGAGGTCTTAGCCGGGGAAGCTGAAAACAAGCCAGTACTTAGGGTTAAGTAACACTTTGATAAAGTTACACTTCCATCTTTCTGTCCTGCTTCTTTTTTTTTTTTTTTTTGACTTGCTGTGAGTCGACAATAAGCTACCACCCAATTTGTTAAGTCAGTACACAACATATTTCCCTTTAAAGAGGTGGTTCATCAAAGTTTCTATACTTTCCGAACTATATTTAAATTCATTTTCATTCATTCAAATAGTTTTGGTTTTATTTGTCCAGGATTTGAAATACTGTTTCTGCTGCCACCAGTACACAGTGGAGGTGAATGTAATGTAGATTGTGGCCTCCACAAATATGACAAATGACATTTCAAACAACTTCTTCGAAACCTTCTGTCCCCGCTGCTCTAAGACATCCAGGGAACATGCTGTCATCAGAGTTCATACTGACTGAAAGTAGCTCCAGTGAAAACTGACCACAGTGAAATCTGTGGCTTCTTCCCCAGGAAAGACTTTTCTTCTTTCTTTTTTTTTTAAGTTTTCAGCACCATAAACAGAATTTTATTCACCATCATTGTAGTGGAATATCTCACAACCTTTTTTTTTGGTGGGAGGGGGGGGTGGACTAATCCTTTAAGGATGGCCTTTATAGCTAAAATCTGTGAATACAAATAGGATCCAACTTTGAAGCAACACCCATTGTTGCCGTTTTATTGGCTCTGGCTCTTTGTCTTTGTCTGCGTGAGACGCTGGTGTGAAGTGAACTTGCTGGTTTTTGACGCTGCATGTGAAAAGGCGAGAAGGCTGATGTGCATACAGCACTGTTTGTCATAAACAGTGGCCGCTCAGGGAGTGGGCTCAATTTAAATGTCTGTCTGGTCTTAAGACAGATGTGACCACTTCCACAGTGTCACTGATTGAAATCACCTCACCTCCCTATATTAGCTGACCTGTTGTGTTCTATGCATGACCTAAAGTCAACACTGGGAGTCATTGTACTGTTTAAATGTGACATAAGCAATTCCTCGTCATTAGAAATATCATGAAATTCTGCTGTAGCGATAAGAGAGCACCACCCACACACTTCATACAGTATGCACTTCATTAAAACAGCATTTACAAAGACAAATCTCTGCCATAAATTTAAGATTACCTCCAGACATATAAAAAGCACTCTGCTTGAAATATTAATCTGTATAGATTCTTTTCACAAATAAAGTTCAATTATCTTGTTAAAAAATCTCAAATCTACCTATTCTCTCTTCCCTTTTGAACAATCTATGAATATGCAAGTATTTTTCACTTGAAAACTTTAACTTTGAGACACAAGACGTCTCCCACTTCACTGAAAAGTATATCGGACCACAACTGGCTCATAACTTGTCATGATGTCACAAAATTGCTTTTACATGCAGTCTTTAAACTGAGATTTAAGGTGAGCACAGACAAACGTTTCTCTCCTCAGCAGATGAAATGTGAGAATGGCCGTATAACTCTGGACGTGCACCATACTGCACAGTGAAGGTCAAACAGACAAGTCAAGTAACAATAAGCAAAAATGCATTTTTGAGAGGAGGAGGAGGAGGATGGGGGGTTTAAACAGGGTTCATTCAGGTTAGACTATAAACGTCAAAAATGAGTGGAGTTTCCCTTTAAACCTCCACATCAAAGCACATCAAAGCAACCAACACAACAAAATTCACACCTCCTGGTGCAATTCTCATTTTAGACCACTGTCTTGCCACTGTTGGCCTCCAGGTTAGCACCAAAAACAGGCACAATGACTCACGGCTTGTGTTGCCCCCCCCCCCTCCCCTTGCATCCTGACATACAGTATAATTACTCTATTAGGGCTCATGTCATCATTGCACTTATTAAGTCTACAAGCTGACAATTGCCTCTGACTGGGCCTCATTTCATCGCTATGTGCCTTTGAGTGACACAAGCCAAATAGCCTGTTTGTTTGCATTGGCTGCTGGCTGGCAAGCATACTGCATGCCAACATGGCCAAAATAGGACATGCTCAAAGCTAATAATGTCCCGTCTGTGTTCTCTCTGGCCTTTTTTTTTTTTTTTTGCAGTGTTGTATGGTTTATGAGCATGTGTGTTGCATCAGAAAGTTTGGGCTTCCCAACAACAGTCTACACAGCAACATCTTTTTCACCCCCCCCCCCCACCAAAGCCAAAGATTTATGAGAAACAACTTCAATAAAAGTGCATTAATGAAACTTTGTTGTGTCACGGTTGTACTGACAGAAAACCTGGAAGCTCCTAGGCTTCTGTGTTCACCAGTCTTTCCAGACAGACACACCGCCAACAACCTTCATGACTGTCATAAATGGTGGACATAATCACATAAGAAGCACAAATTCAGAGGGGGGGAATCAGCCAGCAGGCATTTCTCACCTTCTGTGAGCCATGTCTCTTGGAGTTGGCTTAAATCCTGGAAGAGGTCTGAAGAGAGAGAAAGAAATACAATCAACACACTGCAGACTGACAAGCTGACAGCTCAGTAGACTTACTGCTTACTAATATGTGTCTTAAACCCATGAAAACCCATAAATACAGTTACTAAGATACAAACTGGCATTGCCTGGGGTTCATAGACCGTGATGTAAACATGCGTCATGTAAAGAGACTAGAGGCCAAAATCGTGAACTTCCACTACTTTACCTTCAGATTCCTGAGGGGGTAATTCTGTGTCCATGTATTTCCTTTTCGCTGCCATCAACAGTCTATTTAGGGGCCCATTTCCTTGCGACTTCTGCAAAACCCATAGATGTTAAAAGAGAGGAGAAGTGAGAAACAAGACTCCATTTCCAACACATTAGTGTCGAAACAGATAATTCCATGTTTAGCTGTGGCGTGGAGAGAAAAAAAAAACCCAACTAAAAGTGATGCAGGAGCTAACCACTTCTGACGTAAATAACAACATTTAAGTTGTAATAATTTGTAATGGGTTACAAACGGGAGCCTACTGCAGCTAAAGGTGAACACCGGGCTCCTTAGAAAACAACACATTTCTCAGTTGTGGAGGAGATCTTGGAAAAACAAACGCGCTGTTTGCGTCTGAAGAAAGTGACCATTTGGCACCACACTGACACGCTCTACAACCGAACTATCCCACTGGAAAAACATTTTTAAATGCACCACTTGCTATGCTTCACTTTAGGAGGATTTTGTGGTAGTTTTGAGCGGGGGTAAGGAATTGTTTTCTATCGCGCACACACACATACACAGCTGCTTCAGCAAAAAAAAAAAAAAAAACTCGTGCAAGCAGACGCGAGACGACAGAGAGATAAAGCCCGGTAGTCGAGTCATTAAAAAGCACGCACACATTTTTTTTTTTTTTTTTACAAAAGCACTGAAGTAACAGAAGAGTTCATCCATACGTACATTTGCTAAAGTGTAAGGCACTTGCTGGTCCAAATATCCATCCATCTTATAATCCATCCGTTAACCGTTTGTGGTCATTTAGGCTGAAGTGAGTGAGATCCACGCAGCCTGCACAGAGAGGAGGGAGCGTTGCTTGTGAATGGAGCTGCGTGGAGGCTGCATGCATAATGAGCTCCATTCACAAAAAATGCCGAGGGGAAGTGATGGCAAGTGATTACCCAGCGGGCTGCTGAACTCTTTACAAATCTCTTTTGTGTGTGTGTGTGTATGTGACAGACAGCTCGTCACATTTACCTACAAGTTTCAGGTGAAGCTAGTTTTGCACCTCGAGAAACTATTTTCCCTTACTTTTTTTTTGTAGAATAATTTTGGTTTTTTTGGGTTTATTTTGCGCTTTCTGTTTTAAAAACATGTCATAAAGCGCGTACCCGATGAATAATGAGCGTTATTTACTGGCCTGTTCTGTTTCTTGGGCTTTTTGCCACGTCTGCCCAGATTGCCAGGCTCCACTTTCTTTAGGAAACAGTCCAGCTCTGAAACTGTGAGGGGAAACAGATGTTGCGTTTTAGTCGAGTCACAGCAACAAAACCAAACCCTGTTAAAGATAAAAGATAACTGACATTTGCAGTTAAGAGTGAGTTTGAATGAGACTCTACTGAAGTGGGGTGACTTTAGAGCGCCAGCTGTGCTGTCATTTCTCGAACAGACATGATTTGGGGATAATAGGGAGACTTGCTTTTCTAGCTCAGGCCAGAGAAGGCTCGTGATTGGTGGATTTCCTCTTTCAAGGGCTCGAATTTCTTACCATTGTCCGCATGAATACACTGACTTATGAATGAAGTCTCGGTTCCTTCAGCGAGCCAATCAGAAGTCTGGTAACCGGGATCCTAGCAACCGTGGGCGGAGCTTGTGCCACAGCAGCCAATCATCTCCCGGCAGACTGTAGGCTTTTATACTGGATTTTCCAGTTGTTTTTCATTCACAAAAAAGAGAGAGGGAAAGTTAGAAAAAAAGAGAAAAACTTCCATTCATAAAAACCTGCCCTGGCACGAAAAGTCCTGACATGTTTTTCTTTTCCTGCCCGGACAAACTCAAAGAACCTCACTTTGTTTACCTCATTTCATGTCTCTGCCTCCACCACTAATGACAAGCAGTGATCGCAGCCAGGCAGGAAAAAGTGGCCCTACCTCTGCAGGAGACCTGTACATCAAAACTGACGTAAATCTGCTCAGGAATATTCACTCCTACATTCTTGTGGTTTTAAGTCTACGCCACACAAAACCAACAGGATTTAAAGTTCTCCACGAAGCTTTGTACACAAGACCAACAGAATGGTGAGAGGCTTGTTGCTTATTGAAATTAAACTGTCTAACTACAGCCAAAAGGAGCAGAAGCAGGAAACAAGGCTGTGAATGGGATCTGAGTTTGGTTTCAGTGGCCTGGTGATTGAGATTCAGAGACAGGGACAATAAGGAGTTTCAGAGCATGTGCACTGTCCTCTTCTTCCTCTCTCTTCTGTTGATATCTAATTCAATATCCATAACAGGTGATGCTGCACATGTTATTTCCTGCTTAATGATATTTAGATGCACATTTAGATGTACACAACAGGCTATAAATATTACATCAACCCTGCTCTGTGCAGCCAGCACTGAGTGGACTGGCTCGAGGATATTACAAAAGTAGATCATTATAGTTGTTTAGTAGTTGTTTCATTAAATTTGAGGCACTACATACACTCTATGTACACGCCGAGTGGCTGGGCTCAGCCTTAGAGATAGAATAAGGAGCTCCAACATCCGGAGGGAACTCGAAATAAAGCTGCTGTTCCTTGAAGTTGACAGGAGCCAGTTGAGGTGGTTCAGGCATCTGATCAGGATGCCTCCTGGGCACCCTCTATTGGAAGTCTTCCAGGCACATCCAACTGGTAGGAGACCCCAGGGCAGACCCAGAACACGAGAGAGATTATATATATCTCATGAGACATGGGAACACCTCGGGGTCCCCCAGGAGGAGCTGGAAAACATTGCTGGGGAGAGAGACCCTGGATAAGCGGCAGAAAATGTCTTGTTGGATGGATGGATAGAGGGACTATATACACTCTTCTGTACGCATATAGACTAAAACACTGGTTCCCTCAGAAAGGGTCTCACAGGGCCACAAGAAGATTACAGGAGAAAGTATGGTTTACGTCTACGCCTACTGCGTAGGTTTACGTCTTCAGACCTCTGAAATTCCTTTAAATGAATCAATAGAGGAGGGTAAAGTCACTCTTTGGTTGAACTCTACAATAAGGCCGTTACCTGTGGTCAAGTGAAAAACATCAGAAACCACTGCAATGAACTCAAAGATAAATTGAAAGTCCTAATTAGCAAACATTAGCATACTAACATGCTAAATTTAGATGGTGAACATGGTACATCACGAACATCACACCCTCTACACATCTGCATAGCATTGTCATTGTGAGCATGTTAGCACACTGATGATAGCCTTTATCCCAAGGCTAAATTACTTAAAGGAGCTATTTGTAAGTTTTGCTATTTCTACATAGCTAGCGTTAGCATTAACAGCTGTTTACCTACTAGTTTAGAAGAAACGTTGCCAGTTCAGCATCAAACTTGATTCCTTCCCTGTCACCAGAGTTGGACTTTTTTTTCTATTGAAGTTTGCATGCTAACCAGCTAGCCCCGGCCCGTCTCATCCCTTTCCGATAGTGACTCACTGCAGCCTCTAACCTCGCCTGAAGATGTTCAGTGCTCAGTGCATATTATAACCAGAGACACTAGAGAAACCGAAACACTTCATTTCCGATTATTTCCTGTATCTGTGTGACGTGGGTTGGGGCGGGGAGGTGGAGACCGGTAGCAGGTCTGAGTCTGTTCATTCCAATGGGCGAAATGAACGAAATCACAGATTATCACAGATTCTTTCGCTCCATAGTCACCGCAATAAATATTGGACCCAGTTTTCACAAGCCACACGTCTTCAGAACATTCTGACATCAAAATGACATTTTTCAAACGAACAGATCAGGAGAAAATGAACTTTATTCGAGACCTGCCTCTGTCTCGGTGCAATACTCTCACGAGATCTGTCGACTGCTGACATCGTTTGCCAACCGATAACCAGATGATTAGATGGACCAGATTGACTTACTTATACGTGAAACCATGGATTAACCTTTAAAACTTAAATAAAACATGTTTCATTGCTTAACAATTGCTAAAACAGATTATTAGCCTATTAAACTGATATGATTTTGCATTGGGCTGATCAGATGTCGTTAGTAGATAAAAACAGCGGCAAAAAAGGCGCAAATTTGTACTGTATCCGTGTTGTATTGTCTATTGTTGTATTCTTTTGGTCATCAGTTAGTGTTAAAAATGCCCGAGCTTTGTGAAGCAATAGGCTGTAATAACAAGAAAAACGTATCTGTCTTTTCTTTCCCAGAGACATGGATAGATTTTAATATTAGCTACTGTCACATTTCATGCCAGTTGCCTCGGCTTGAGGGAGGGGTTGGGGGACAACGCCCACTTAGGAGACCGGAACTGTGTCCCATTTCATACCAGTGGCGCTGCCTGTAATGCGGTATCTTCTGTAGAGAGGATCCTTGTTATAACCTATTGTTTTGTAAACGATACAATGGCCGAAGCTCTTGCCAAGCCACACTCACCTCCCGGCAAGAAAACTGCATTTGGTGGCAGAGAAAACTTACAAATAGCACCTTTAGGTGATCTCTCTCTTTTTGTTGTAGGCTATTTAGCTGCATATAGATTTCTTTTTTTTTTGTCTAGTTCACACTTATAGGTTTAAGACTCTATCATTTGATTTAGTCTTTTATGATCATGTTGAAAATATGTGTTTGGACTGGATTGGCATGTTTTTTACGACAAAAAAAGAAATAAAGAAAAAGAGGAAGTATTTAACCAAACTCCTTCAAATGAAACAGTCAAAGAAAGAAAAATCAGTCCTTAGTTGAATTGCTCAATATTTTTTCCACACTACAAGCAGAACCTGTGATGAAGGGTCATAAGCCACAAAGGACAGTTTGCTATGCTGAGACCTCCTTCTTAAGAGCTAGGAGAAAAATTATTGAAAGAGCTTCTGCTGATGGTTAGATTCCCCCTGTATTTAATTTCCGTTGCCTAATTTTGTCCCAAATATTAAAGCATGACTCAAGATTATTGTAGTGTAACCACACAGTATTGACAAATTCCTGCCTTGGCAAAAAAAGAAAATTGCACGTGGTAACCCACGTGACACGAAAGGATGTCAGCTGTTTGGGCATGAAATGCAACATTTTCCATTTAAAAATGCCTTTTTTTTTTTTTTTTACTTATGAATCATCTCCCTCTCTCTATGCGAAATTAACTTCTCACATGTGAAAAATATTGATATGATTTCAAGTCAATAAAAGAAAGTTTCTCATGTGGAAACACGTCCCCTCTCCTCCGCCTTGGTCCAGTGTCCGTGAGTCAAAACTTTTACGTCTGAACTGTCACATGTGATCTCGAACAGAATTCAACGTGAAAAGAAAATGGACTTTTGAAACGCGGCACGTGTTTGAGAAGCACATGTGTTTTTAATTCACATGCGGTTGACATCTTTAAATGAAAGGGGGCAGAAACAGCCCGTGTTAAATACCTACACTGTGATACACCTACCTCTACTATAGTGCTGATGCAGCCTACACAAGATTTACGACTTCTTTAGATCCTTTACGATGAATTGGAATCTTAAAGAACATAGACTGCGGCCATAGATCACCTCCCATGTATTTCATTTACAGTACACACACACACAACACAGTACTGAGATGCATTGTGAAATCTATTGTAATAGTCATCCACCCTTGTGTCTAATATAGCTTTGTCAGCAGAGAGATAAGTACTGACAGAGACAGAGGGGAGACATTTTAAGTTCAGTGGAGTGGAGTCAAAGTGCTTATTGATCAAAGCTGGCTGTGCTTGATGGATGGCTGAAATGTTATTATAGCTTCAGCTGTTCTAGTTATGGAGAGACAGAGTGAGATGTGCTGAAATGGAGCTGGATGAGGAGAAATATTCAGAAAGAGTGAAATACTTTCATGAGAGGAATTAAAAGACAGAAAGGAGTAAAGCAAAGGAGATTTGAAAAAAAATAGGGAAAATAAAGATTGAATGATGAAAGTGAGA